TCTGCAGTAGACCTGCGTGAAACACCGCAGGCATGCCTGCGCATGTGCTTCCGGTGACCCCTTCTTTTACTACGAGCATTTTATTTCTCAACTTTGCCTTTCCTACGAAGCGCAGTAGCGTATACCTTTATGAATGAATGCATTTATCTGACCGGTGCTCCTTGATGCCGGCCAAGTTGGCTTCTCTCAGTACCCTTAAAGGCACACCAAGAAGTGAGTAGATCCGCACGCACACCTGCGTGCGCGCTAACACGTACATGTCGTTATCGATCCGTGTTTCCCCAGTTCCTGCCATCTGCGCCGCCTTCGACTAGACATAGGGGTTGCTTTATGTGCGTGTGCGCATGTGCGTGTTTTTTAATACACGTACTTTTTAATTTTCCTTTTTTGACGAACTGGTTTGTGTATGCGTTTGCCCTTACAGTGTAACGCTGTGCAATATCTCTTCCCGTACTCCATGCAAATCATCCCTAGTCATCCTTTCCTACGAACGCGCAAATAACATATCTACCGCTCCGCACCGGTTAATTCACATACTTCTCTCACCCGTCGTTATCATCGTCATCCTCAGCCTCAACACAGCTTAAATATTATATTAGTTTGTATCTTGTTAACTTTTTTCCTTCTGACTTTGTGAACGCACCCGGATGTTTCATTTAAATTCCAGCACTGGCCCCGTCACGGTAGCGGGGCCACCCCCAAGCGTTGTCTTCTTTGCTCAGTTGTTTGTACCAACCGCATCGGTGAATCCTTTTTATTTCATGGCTCTGGCCGCCCTCCCCCCCTCCCCCTCCGGCGCAGTACGTCACTTTTGTACTTTTGTTACTTTGAATATTTTGAGCAACATACAAATATACTTAAAGGGACCTATATAAGTATATCTCCGCCTAGCCAACTGTCTACATGTGTGCACATATGCAAGAATTCTTCGATAAGTTGAGTATGTGCGAACAAGCTTCTCTCCGTTCAGGATATCAAGCTGGACTTGGCTACAGTTTTGCTGAAGTTTTCTTTATATAAACCGCATTGGATCTGGGATTACCTGACAACGTCATTTTCTACACACACACACACGTCGCAGCGGCCCAAGACCTCTTCTCTTGCAAATTGTGTGCCAAGATTTGCTTTGTCCGACTGTTGCAGCTATTGTGTACAAATAAAATCACTGCTGACTGCCAGTCCGACCTTTTGTCTTTCGCGTATGTGGCAATACGTAAACACTGTGTCTAAGCGATTCTATTTAGCGAATCCAGGGGACGTCATTCTCACTTCTAAGAAAGCCAGGGGTAGTGATCGGTGGGGTGGGGAGGAATACTGGGGCGCCTATGATGAAAAGTTGACCGATGTTTGCTCAGGCTTATTACAGTAGATGTGCTAACTCATGAAATGTCAACCAAAATTTCGAAATGCGTTCTCGTTTCGAAAAGATATATTAAGTAGTGTTGTAGAACTAATCATGATGCAGCATAAATCCATAATGATCCAGTTACCTCAACGTGTCGGCTTTCTAAAAAACTTATTTTCGGCTGCATGCAAGATCTATACTCTGCAAAAAATGACTACTTAAGTAGCATGCAATTTTCTCATTGATTTTCGATGCCCTTGAAAATTCAATTATATTTCATGGAAAACATGCATAAAAATATTCATTCTTTTACCTATTCGGCAGAAAATCACGTCTTCTTCCAATTTCATACTCAAAAAAGAGTATAATTCGGTTTTGAAAAACTTTTCTAATTCCCGAATAATTTTGAACCCGACCTGCTGTTACACTTGCATTCAGGGTTTCAAAACTACAAGCTGTATATTTTCCGTGTACGGAAAACCATGCATTTCTCTACGGTGTTAAGAGGCGACCATATGAGGTTCATAAAATTAAGCAGTGAATTTGGGCAATATTGTTAACTTTACAAGCCACATTCGTAAATGCAGATGCATGACGTTTCATGAACGGCCATTTAACGGTATTAAAAAATCTCACAATTAGAAACTTTTTAAAACTGAATTATACTCTTCTTTTGAGTATGAAATTGGAAGAAGACGTGATTTTCTACAGAGTAAGTAAAAGAATGAATATTTTTATGCATGTTTTCTATGAAATATAATTGAATTTTCAAGGGCATCGAAAATCAATGAGAAAATTGCATGCTACTTAAGTAGTCATTTTTTGCAGAGTATAGATCTTGCATGCAGCCGAAAATAAGTTTTTTAGAAAGCCGACACGTTGAGGTAACTGGATCATCATGGATTTATGCTGCATCATGATTAGTTCTACAACACTACTTAATATATCTTTTCGAAACGAGAACGCATTTCGAAATTTTGGTTGACATTTCATGAGTTAGCACATCTACTGTAGGTGGGTAGAACTATACCTCCATGTTCCGAATTCCAGAGGTCAGATACAAAGTATTCAGACGTAGCAGTTTCAGCTTTAGTAATAAAATTACAGGTAGGGTCGAAGGAAAGAATAAAGAAATAAGCAACCGAAGGCATAACTGATTGAGAGCGAAGGTCTGAATCGTCCCAGGCGCGCATGATTGATCGGACATGATATATGATGAAATTTGCTGCCGTTACTAACGGAGGAACGTTCTGCACAGTGAGCAAGTGCGCAGCTACAAGTATCTGATCAGACATTCGCCAAAGTGCCCAAAACATTTTGCTGAAAAAAGGCTTTAATGGCATATTTCCACAAGCAATAAATCAACTAGGTACTAGGCAAGGGTGGCGTGTAGTTTTGTAGACTTAACTGACAGCAGTGAACACTCTGAAAAAGGTTAGATAAAGAGAGGGAAACATAAGTAAACATGAAGGCAATAAGGGCAGAACCTGTACTGCATACCAATGCGAATAAAACTCGCAAAATTTCATGAACGTATATGGTAGGTCGATAACCGTAAGTG